CAGACAGTGAAGCTGACATTATTATGCATTGTAAACAAAGTATTTTGATTATTCTCAGCTCAACAATCAATAGAATCAATCCAGAGTTGACGAAAAATGCTTGTAGGTTGGGATTTACTGACCTCTCCATGAAGAGAGGTAGCTGCTCTGTGAAGACTTGGTGGGTTGCCTGAACATCCATGGCGCAATATTGCATTAACTCCTTTAGAGGTCAGCAAAGGCAAAGTTATTTGCCAAGTACAATTTCAAGATGACTATAGGTCAACCTCATAAAACTAATACATTTTGCTTTTGATTAGTGACAACTTGACACTATTCTCATGACCCTCTGACCTGGAAGTTGTTCCTGACATCCATCATGTTTCCCTTCAAAAAGGTCTCTCTGGCCTCTTTTTGCAGCACCGGCCCACCTACATACAGTGCATGAACATCAGCCAGGTTATTAATACTGCTGATATTCACCCAGTCCCAGGAGCCAATCTGTGCACACAAAAAAAAAAAAATAAAAATAAAAAATCATCTGCTGGTGCAAAACCCCAAGTGACACCAAATTTAAAAGATCCAGACACTTTCAACAAAAGCAAAACTGCTACTGCTACTACACCATAATACATTTTGAAGGTAAATTTGAGTCTTGAAAGGACACAAACCATTGGGCCCTCCCTTTTCTTCCCAACTTTCTTAATGTGTTCCTTGACCTCCTGAAGACCCCTCCTCTTGCCCAGCTTACTGGCCATCCAAAGCATGCGCTGGAGCCCAGTTAGGCCTGAAATGGTCATGTGAAGGCTCATGGTGTCCATGAAGCGAACCTTTGAACCCTTTATGAAAGAAAACATTAATTTCTTAAGTGTCACAATAAATGAAAAGTTACATGCTACCTACACTACATTTACTCTTATAAATCACAGATCCAACACCAAAGAGGCCAGAATACTGGAAAGCCAAGCCAAGGCAAAAAATTGAGAGACAAAAAAAGTAAATTAAATTTAAAAGCCCCCACTATTATCTGATTACTGACCTTTAGTAAATACTGCTCCTTAATGTGAGATCGATCAAAGCTAACATTATGGCCTACTATGAGCCTCTCCTTCCAATAACCCTTAGGGGGGCGGGCAGAGTTGACAGGTGTCTCAAGTGGGATGAGGTCAGCAAGGGTCAATTGGTTGGACCAGGAGTACCGCTCTGCAATCAAACGTTTACTGCACCAGGAGTACCTAGCAAGTGAGAAATAACAAAATTGAACAAAATGAAACTGGTGCCCATTTACACCCAGATCCCATTTTCATGCTATAAAGCAATTTTGGTAGCATTAGTGGGACAATGAAATCCATCCTTCTCCAATGAACTTAACAACTTGATCAATATTACAATGCCACAGTGAAGCTAATCAACGCTTCTAATAAACAGTTACAGTAAAGGGCAGGAGGCGTGTTTGTCTCCTTCAGATGACCTTAAAATTCTTCTTGTTCCTCACCAGTTGGTGGGAGATACAGCAACAGCCAGAGTGGGACACTGCCCCTCTGATGTGCACACCTCCACATCAAACACCAGTGCTGACTCCTCTGGGAAATCAACCTTCTGTCTCTCCCCACTAGGCTCATACCGAGTCCAGCCAACCTCCCAGCTCCATTCCTGTGGCATGGCAGGGAGCTCAGCCTGACAGAGCTTGGTGGCAGCCTCAAGATAGGGGAGACTCTGAGTTTTGGCCAAGATACGAAAGTGTTCATCAATATTTGTTCCATACATAGGGGGAAGCTTAAGCTCCACATTGGGCAACATTGAAGTTTCCTTCCCCCACAGCTGGTGTTTTTGCAGATGCCTAATGCTGCGCTCCACATCCTCCTCTCTGTACTCTGGTTCCAGCCCTCGAAATATCTGTTCATGGAGGTTCTTTGACAGCATCTGAATGTTAAGAGGATTCAGGCGGGTCTCTGTATGGTGCTCGCCCTCAAGGGAATGAGTCTTGGTGGAGTAGAGGGAGCGCAGACCTGTCCATGGTGGAGTGACAAAAGCCCTCTGTAGAGGAGAGCGCAATAACTGCAGCATCACCTCAGGAAGACGTTACACTAGAGCTGGAAGATAGCGATACAACGTCAACATCATGACATGATATAATTTAGTTAGACCTAGCTTGTGCCTCTCATTGTAATTTAATGAGGCATAAACTGGGTCTTGATACCGCTATGCCTCCATATACCTAGGTGCTAGAAAGATTATAGATACTGATCTATGTATATGGTCTTACATGTGATTCTGCTGTTATAATACTGTGATTTAAAGCATCCTGGTCTTTAAAGGTTCATCAGATCATATCCAAGTGATTTCAAGTACAAAGAAGGCTACACAGTTAACATTAGCTAATTTAATGTTTGCTAAAGTTATAATTCATCGCACATCCAGAATGAATCCACACCACCTAGAGTTTTGTCACATTAGTGAGGTCGAGGGACTGAATAAAGAGCACTTGAATATTTCACTCAGAAAAGTTTTCACCCAACTTTATTATTAACGCTAAAGTTAGACATAAATGAACACAAGTACTGGAGTAAATGCTAGTTAGCTTAACCAACTGTGCCACTGCATAATTTAGCTAACTAGGTTAAGCTAGGTAAGTTAACGCTACACGCATAATATTAGAGAATATAATTTCAGTAGCCCTATACCACGTAAAGTTAACACTGAACCCACCTGATAACCTTTGTTTAACCACATTGCATTCCAGTTATCCGTTAATGTAACACTTCGGTCACCCAGTGGGGCTGATATTACCTGTGAGCAACTATCTAACAAACGTTAAACAAAAATTATAACATGACAGTACTGTGCTCACTACGTTTGTTAGCTAGCTAACCTCTCGCTAAAAGCAAAAATGTTGCCTCACCCGGCGTGTGATATCAGGTAACTGTTACAACGTTAACGTAAGCAATCAAATTATAACAGAAATCGCTGCAATGAGGTTTTTACTTCAACATGTCAAACATGGTTGCAGCCAGCCAAGGCTTGCAGCAAGACGATTTACCAAAGGAAGACGAAGCGTTGGCGCCCCCACGCGATCCGGATGACACAGATTTTAAGAACACAAACATGAATGCGAAGATGTAAGTTATAGTTTTTCATTATGGTCAAACGCTTATCATCCATAACTCCAGTCCTAAAATCACGACATACGCTACACCAAACCAAAACAGGACAAACATAAGATTATAGTTATTTAAATTGCAAGAATAACAACACTGAACTGTCATCAGGGCTGCGTGGCCTAATGGATAAGGCGTCTGACTTCGGATCAGAAGATTGCAGGTTCGAGTCCTGCCGCGGTCGCATCTTTTATAGGCTTTTGATAATCCTCACCCCTACTGCTTCTTTCTGCAGAATGACACACTGTAACCAAATTTGTGTTGCACTACTATACGTGGCTCTATTGTAGTGATACATTTCTGATATGGGTTGAATATAGTGACAGAGGAGACAGTGTTAGCGTCTGTCTATTTCACTGAGATCTGCTGTGCATGAGATTTTCTTGTCTGCCTCCAAATCTATTATTTTTCCCAGTATTTTATTAACTAACATCATCCAAGGTTTATGCTATGTGTTGTTGTCCTTGCTTCTTGTCAGATGATGGTGGATGATGTTGAACAGCATTTTGCTGCTGCTAAACAGGAGAGGGCTTGGAGAAGCACAGTCATAAGGTGTAGGCCTACTGCAAGACACAGGCTATTTATTATTGTACAGTAATATCCTACACTAATTTGTCTTGTACAAAGTCTTTGCTTTTACAACATAAAATCAATAGAGATAGCAGCTGGTGTGGAGTTTCTTTACAACTCCCCTACCATATATCTTAAACAGATGTTAGTAACCTAAGTTGAAAATGCTCTTTTTCACTTTTATAAAATATGAATTTATGTTTATAAACATCATCATTAGAACTCTCTTCATATCTGCCTGTGATGTAAGTGCAAAGTTGTTGTACAACAAAGATGTTCTAAACTACTTTTTTTAAGATCATCGTTCAGCATTTCTAATCAAATCCTACATTTGATTTAAGATGCTCCCTCACCTTCTTTTTCCACCTTTTCCTCCAGGTGGTTCCCATAGCCTAATTGCCTGTTTGCTCTGTTTTTAGATCATCAGCATGAACATTCATATGTTTTGTCCTGATCATCACTCTGCTCTCTTTTGACTTTTGGCCTAAGGTGAGAGGTCAACTAAGTCAGAAAGTAATTCTTCAAACTTTCCTATGCTTCATCCTCTTCACCTTCCTATGCCCTCTTGTCCGCTGGGCTATACATTTTATTTCACTTCACTTCTGTTACTCACTCACAGTGGTCTTGTGTTGTTTCAGAATGTAATTGGCAGGGGTTGTTGCTGATGGAATCAGACTAATGAGTGAAACAGGATGGCCAGGCTCCAGGCTCCTCCTGCAGCATGTGAGTGACTGATGTGGCATTTGGCATGTACAGTTGGCCTGTTAACATTTTTTAAAACAAGCAAACATCAGTTTACTGATCATTTTTCATCTTGCAGCCTGACATTTTACTATAAAGATAGCATCTCTACACCTGGTGGCTCTGTGCCTTGTGAATGTCTTTGTTTCATGCACTTTTACAAGTTTAGCTGTTGTTAGGTGAATATCACACATTTGCAATTTCAGAATTAAAGGGCATATAAACAAACCATAAAAGACAGATTTTTTGATTAGGATGTACATGTCCTTTGTCTGACTTTCAATAAATGTCTTTGTGGTTAAAAAGGGCTTCATATAAACACAAGGCTAAATCTGATGTAAGGATGACTAAACTAGCATTAGTACCCATTAAGAAAATTGGCTTTGCCTTAGGAAGAAAAAGGTGTTGGTCTTATGGCATGAAATGATGGCGCACACTGTCTCCAGTGTTTGACTGAAATTGTTCCACCACACCTTTAACTATGCTGATGGTACCTCAGGTGAACAAATGACCATTAAAAGCTTAATGAAAATGTAGACATTTGTTATCTGCAGTAGTTCTTTATGTTGTGGCAGACACATTTTCTGTGCATCAGTACACCGTGGGCAATGAATGAGCAAAAGAAACTGAACCACACAAAAGAATGAGAATCACACTTGTCCTGAAAACTTAAAATTAATAAGTCAAGAGATTTAAGGCTAAAGGATGTGAAGTTTTCTTTTATGAAAAATAAAGTTTTACAAATACTGTATTCATTTGTGCACCACAGGTTACACAATCCAATTTTATTCCAAACTCAATCCCAGGGAAACTGGCTAATTTAGTCTGGCCTGGCTGACTCAGTACAATTTTCAAATTCGAATAAATGGCATCTTGGGAATGGCCCTAATTTTCCTGGTGAATATCACATTAAAAGCGCTTGGGAAACATTTTCCTTCTATCGCACAGATTTGGAGGGAAGCGTTCATACTAGTCTTGGCCGTGGCCCCTGTGCTCTCATGGCCAACACCTGCCACAAGAGTCTGAGACGTCAAAGATCCTTTATTTGTCTAGTATGCCCACACTTTCTCCCAGCCTGTGAGACCTTGTGAACAGCGGAGAGCAATAAATTATTATTGTGCATGCTATGTCAAGGAGACATAACCTCCAGTAATAAAACAGTAAGGCAACCATGGCATCATGTAGCTCTCTCTCTCTCTGGTAACCAGAACTGCTTTATGCTTTTGAGCCACAGTGACAGTTCTACATTGGGTGAAAATCTTGGATTTTACACATTAATCATTATATTAGCCATAACTCTTTTTTTTTAGCTTTATCCATGTAGCCTACGTTTTATACATTTGTTGCCAGAGTATGCTAAATCATTAGACGGCCTATTTGAAATGGATTTTCTTAGAAAACGTTAAAGTAGCATCATAATGTTTAAGGTGTAGCAGGATTCCTGTAGGCTATCCTATCACTAAAAATCTTTCTGAATGGACCACAAGACCTTGAAAATTCTGTTGTAACTATTTTCATATATACGAATAGGATTTTATATAAAATGGGTAAATATGACATGTCCACATATTCTACTACTGTTATTATTATTGCCACATGTAGCAGGGATGATAAAATCAAAAAGAAGCAATAGAAAACTGTGAGGAGGGAGATATCTTACCTACATCGGACACTCTTTGGTGCCGGCGGACTCTGTGATTGGTCAATACGCCCCCTTGGCACTGGTATGACGTCAGTGCGGGAGCGAGTTGTCACACAGTAGAGGAAGCGCTCAGGCTGGAGGAGAGGCAGAAGCTGGGGGACTGAGGACCAAAGTGGACACATCTGAGAGCATCATTGCTGACTCCGTACAAGGGCCCGATAGAAACGCAGAAAAAAATTCATCTGGAAAATTCATTACGTGCTAAAGTTGAGGACATTTTTCTTCAGAGCCTGCTTTGCTTCCGAAACAGGTAAGAAAGGCATCTAGAAATAAACAGAATTTGCACATATACCATTTGGATGTATACCAGCTTTGTATCTGTTCTCACGCCATGTCCGTGTGTCTTATGCAGAGATTTTGAGGACACAGGTGATGCATGCTCATGACACCTTTTAGTTTAGTTTTTGTGCGTATGAACCCAACAGAAACGCCCTTACGTTTTAGCCTCAAAAAGAGGGGAACGCGTCGATCTCTGGTCCCCAAACAGACAAAACCCCATGTTCTATAAAGTACTACACCACGTTCCTCGGTCTATTATTATGACCAGGAACTAATTGCTTTCTGTAATAGCTTATGCGGATTATCCTTGTGATGTGAAATTGTCTAGTTTTAGAAGAAGTAGGCCAATCACAACTCTCATTAAAAGTAGGGATTCGTTGCCCCCAAGAGCACCAAAGAGCCAGGAGCAAATTAAAGCATCTTAAAAGCCAGCTCGATGTAAATTTAGTTTTTTTTTTAAAGAGACAGCTGTTGATCTCGGAGCACTGATTTAACCTGCAGTATTAAAGAGCCACCTCTTTACCCAACGCTATCGAGGGTTCATGATCATGGTCAAGCTTTAAGCCACCCTAGTTTGGTGACTCTGGCCACTCAGCTGCTATGGTAATGTCGCTCCTTCATATTGGACCAACTTGCATGTGTAGATAGGCTGTAGGTTCTACAGCACCTAGCTACTTTGTGATTTAATAATAGGCTTTGCTTGCTATTATAAAAATACTTCCAGCCATTCACGTTGAGTGTTAAGGTGTCATTAGGCCTGATTGTATAGAAATGCGCGGACGGATCAGCATTTAGTCATAATGCTGCACAAAATGAAAAATAGCCTACATCGTGTAAAAGGGAAGGGCAGTGTTATAGCATAGGTCTGCAGAACACAGGCCTTTCCTACAAATTAACTGTATAGGCTATTAACTCATGCATTTCACTGTGCAGGTGGATATTTTTTAATGCAACTTAACACGTGAAATGTGACTGTCATGCACATTTCAAATGGTCCTTTGTCAGTTTTATTCTCTTGCTGATAGAAGCAAATATTTGACACGTTATGTGTTTGAAATTACGTGACTGTTTTCTTACAGAAATAGCCTTTAAACTGTTGCTAATTGCAAGATATGCAAATGTGAGCCACGGGCCCTTAGGTCTACATAAAACTACAATGTTTTTATTTTCTTTCAGGAATAATGTTCTTGAAGAAAGGGTTACAGTTCCCTAATACGACATTTACAGAAATGTAGTGTAGGCTATACGGTTATTGTAAATTGAATAGGCCTTGTAGCCCATTCCCAACAAGAATATTTCACGGTGGACGTGTTATGACTCAATTTTAACCAACAACGTGTGTGTTAGCCCAAATGTTAATTGTGACACATTTGATTGTCCTGTTGTTCGCATTTCGTGCTGGCTGCAATTGTTTAACTGTAATTAAAAACAAACAAACAAACAAACAAACAAAACAAAAACGATGGTATGGTGAATGAGCTGCTTTTTTTTGTGTGTATCTGTGTGTGTGTGTGTGTGTTTTAATGTTATTAATGCATCTTCACCTCCTTCTAGATCCCGCCATGTCGGGCTATAGCATACGAGTGTGGTGGGGAAGTCTGTTTTTGTCTTTGGTTATCTAGCTGTATGAGTGTAAATACGTGTCATAAAGCTAGATAACCGAAAGTAGAAATGACTTCCATAACGTTGTGTCCATTCCCGAAAGACAGGGGACTCCTCGGGCTTTAAACTCACTAAGGTGGATTTTGAATATCACCTCAAAAAGGTAAGAAATAATTGTTTTGCCCTTTACTGAAGTTCGTTTTAAAAATTTGTATAGGCTCCTACACACAAATGTAAGGAAGCCTACAAAATATAGGTGTAGTTCCTAATGTGGTGCAAATATTAGCCCATGTGGGTTTTTGAAATAGCATATTAATATGTTTTTCTTCTTATAATGCTGTAAATACACACGTTAAGTATGACAGATTCATGAGTGAGCATTTTCTTGGCAGAAAAATTGCATATATCATGTGTTACCATGGTATCAGTCATATGATAATGGGGTCTTTGTTGTTTTCACTTTATTCACCTAATGGAGGACAGGCAAAGTGCAAAGTTTGCCAAACTTCTTATTTATCATTAAAAAAAAAAAAAATCCTCCCTCATTCATTTTGAGGCATTGGGGTATGAGGTGTATGAAATAACAGTACCAGGCCATGGTACGGTTGCTTTCCATTTAGGTCCTCTGCAACATGGTGCTGAATGTTAAACAGATCACCCAGTGTGTCCAGGGGACCAGCACAGGCTAAAACAAGAAGTCCTAAACTTTCAGTGAACATCCAGGAGTGCCTAGATGTAGATGTTTTTATTGTGTGAATGGTCAGGGGCGTTATGTTTCTTTAATCACAATATAGGCCCTTTTCACAGCAGAAATGTTTGACTTGTAGTGTGCACAGGTAGTGAATCAGCATTCATAGCACAAAGGCCCTGAAAGTGAGGCAGCTAAATGGAATTCAACCATCATTAACATTCATTTTATTAGTATTTTCACCTGTGCGTTTTCTAGTGTGAAAGGTAAACATGTGTTCTGATAAAAAGGCAAATCACACCCAAGAGTGTTTATTCTGATTCCCGTTGGCCTCCTTTTGTAAACAGTGCAGCTAAAGTATTCCTTATTTTGTTGAGGTGCTCTAGGATTTTTGTCAAGGATCCCTGGGGGTACCTGCGTTGGGACACACTGACTGCTGCCCTTCCAGCCTGCTCACTGCTCATATATCAAAGCACGTACTCTTGATTTAGATTTTGCATTTTACAGTCTAGTCTTTAGTTAACTGACTTTTTTCTTCTTCTTTTGAAAGAGTATTTTCCATTTATTTGAAAAAATGTCAACGCATTTTAAATTACACCTGTGAGACTTCATTTATAGATTAAAGAAAAGGGAAGCCAATGCTTTGTTCTGGCACTAATGTCTCCAGGACTGCTGATAATACAGTTGAGTGGTGCACACAGACAGGTTTAAAAAAAAAAAAACAACAACACTTGGCGTCTGTGTTAAGCTGTAGTGAGTCTTGGAGGCTTTGGGATACATTGTGTCTCGCCTCAATGAGAAGGCCAGGGCTGTCCCGTAGACAGGGGCTGAACTTTTCAACTTGGTACTTCAGTGCTGCGCTGTGCATTCGCTCAGACCAGAGAATGCCACTAAAGCCCAAAGAGCACCAAAGTGAGATGAGTTTTCATTCACTCTGTTAACTACCTATTTGCAGTAGAGCTTGCTGTCAAACCAGGCTAATTGCTGCGTTTCACAGGAAGATATTGGATATGTGAAAAGGCCGTGGTCCAGGTCTTTTCTTGAGCCTCCCCTTAAAGGTAGTGTGTGAACATGGCGTGCCTCCTTAATGAATGGGAACGCAAACACTCGAGGATTTATTTATGTGATGGTCCAAGGCATCCCTGTTTCAACCTGCATCTAGCTATAATGATTCTTTTTGTGCCTGTGTTAGTGTAGCAAAAATACACACTCATACACACAAAAAGTCCAAGAGGAATGCTCTTTGAATGGGCCAGAGATTTAAAGGTTTTGATAACTTAGCTGATTTGTAACCACACCTTAGCGCACGTGTTCCGTGATGCTGGTTTAAAGAAACACTGTTGTTTTAATTAAGAATCCACAATCATAATGCTGAGCTATATGTATGTAAACTGTACTTTTCATGTTTTATTCCTCTGTTTTCTCTGTCCCGTCTTCTTTTGTTACAGGCTTTTTGACGAACACTGGGATTCCTGAAAAGTAGTAGAACAACAAGGAGTGAGGGGAGAAAAAAAGGTTGGTCCACAATTGCCACCTCTTCCTCCTCCTCCTCCTCCCTCCTCTTCCCACCCTCGTCCTTTTTTACCCAGAAGCTTCTAATGCCATCTGTACTGCCAACGGGGGACACTTTTTCCATGCCAGGAGGCGGACAAAGTCCCTGCTGGATCCCCGGAGTATGAGCATACTCAGAGGAGCCATCTTGGGAGATGTTGCCACGACACCTAAAATGGCTGGGCTGGCATACAAGGTGAGCTGCATCATGGTTTTCTGTTGGGTACCAATGGTGATGGTGGGCAGGAGGTGGAGGAGGTGTGTGTGTGTGTGTGTGTGAGATGGGGGAAGGGAACAGGAGGAAGGACAAGGGAAAGAAGAAGAGGTTCCCATTTCCTTCCCAGTCACACATGGCCTCTCCCTTTTCTCTTCTATCTTCAAAAAAAATTAATGAGCTGGCACTGGTTGAAGGAAATCTGCCATCCTCTCTTGTCATGGTGCTTCTCTACTCTCTGATGCACACCAGGCTGTGGTGTTTCCACCTGACAGAGTTCGTAGATTAATTCATGCAAAACTGCTTTTGTTATGAAATTCACATTACAATATTTTGTACAGTATCTTAAGGATGTTAATGTGCCATTCCCTGTAGGTGAATTTTGTTGGGAGCTGATTTGAGATAGTGGGATAATCTCCCATTTGGGGAATAACATTAATGTTTTTTAAAGCAGAACAATCACAACCTAATTTACTGTATGAACAAAAGATATTTTGGCTTAAGTGGTTCCTTATGTGTAATAATATCAGAACTGAATATGAGCAATTTTTGCTTTCGAAAACATTTATCTAAAGATATTTAGATATTTAAAAGACCATTTCAAATGGCATTTCACTTGTATTTGATGTAATTGTCCACTCTGAAATAGTCTACAACTGCATGTGTGCATGTTTGTGTGTATTTGTAGATCAGAAGTGCCACAGTAAAAGTATTGTTAAAGCTACTTAATTGTGCACAGATAACATAGACTGATCTCATGTTGGATCTCATATTTTTTTAAGTATTGGTTGCAGAGATTTGATGTTGATCACATCTCTGTACGGTGTAACATCGTTGGTTACAGCTGCACACAAGATTAGAAGCACACACGCAGACTAAAAATGTCAGACGTCACTGATGTAAAAATGTCACATTCGGCCAAAATCTGAGAAGTGCAGACAGACTCCTTCAGATATCAAAGCACCATTTCTTTAGCTCACACACAGATCCCTGAGAACGCTCCCTGCCGTGGCGTAGAGCCGTTCTGTGCCCCCGATGGTTCTGGCAGCAACCTGAAGCAGAAAAGACAGACACGTGAGCATGTGTGTCCAGGGCCAACATGTGCAGCTGCAGTACTTGTGTGTTAATGAACAGTGCTGTGCGCTTTCACATTATCATTCAGCCCTGCTCTCTCTCACCCCTCAATAGCTGTTTAGTAGACCCCACCACCACTGCCCCCACCCTCCAAAAAAAGCCTGCTTTCCCACCATTGTGGGAGCTTGTGCTGTGACAGGCCTGGGCTTGGGGGCAGGGTGGGAAAGATCTTCCAGACTAGACATGAGCAGATGCCTGAGACATAAGACTGTCGTGTGGATCACCGGGGTCGGGCGAGCCGCTGGGTTCTAATGTGTGTGTGAGCGTATGTGTGTTTGATATGTGTGTGATTGAGGGGGGGGTATAGTCAGGCCCTGGAGTGCCACCTGACTGTTCATTAGTCTATTCAGCCTCCTCTGCATGTCTGAAAGGCATGGAGATGCTGTTTTTTCTGCTAAATGAGAAGGATTTTACTGGCATTTCAGATGCATGTGTACATGACATGCATATAGAACCACAGGCTCAGGCCTACACCCTGTCACAGTTTGCCCACTGGATTGTATCAGAAGTGTTCATCACCTCAAAGATACATTTTCACATTTCTTACTCTGAGAATTGTATTTTACTGAGGATTTAAATCTCGCAGTGCATCTGTCATCAGCCATGCACTTCTTTATCTTTGTTCAGATTACCAGCTGGATACGATTTGTCCTTCATGAAAACAGAATCTACATATTTGTATTGCTCTCAGGTTGTAAAACAGACGGGCATCATGAAAATCTCACAAGACATTTGGTGGCACGGTGCATCGCTGAGAATGACTCAGCTAAGGCCATGGGTGTGCCTAACAGGCTGAATGATGTAACTGGTGGATAATGATTATTAATGAGCCTCATACTGTATCTGTGGCTCTACTAGATGTGTAAGCCCACATATCAAAAGATTATTCCCTCTCTTTAGTCATATAAAAGACTCAGAGCTGTCTTTATAATTGCATTTGTGCTGTTCATGTGTGATATACAGTGCATTGCTTCGGGCAGATTTGACGGGAAAGAGAAACCAAGGTTAAGGTGAGAAATTAATCTTGTAGATACTGTGGCTTGCTCCGTGCTACGTCTCTGTTGCTGAGCTCCGTGGTACTTTAAAGAAAAGCAAAGGGGGAAATGATAAAATTGTTGCTTTCTAAAAGTAAAATGAAAGATTGGCTTATCAAGAAAAGGTTAAAGATAGTGGAAACAGACATATATACATACAAATGTATATATACGTATGTAAGAGAGGCAGGTGTAGCACATGGGCAGCCATGTTTGAGCCACCAGTGTTACCTCTGCTTTTGCTGATAAAGTTAGCCTGTGCAGTGCCATGCTAAAGCAATTTGTAGCCACCGGGAGCCTGGCATGGAGGACTAGCGTGTGTGTTTGAAAAGACTGCATGTTATAGCTGCAGCAGAGACAGCGTGGTCAAAGAGAGGCGGTGACTGAAGCAAATTAACGAGGAAAATGTATTCATGTGTTTTACGTCTGCTCAAGAAGAGCCATCGCTCTTTCTAGTGTTTGTATGAGTGACACACCCTCATGCGCACAGAATATTTGTTTGTCTAATCATTGCAATAATTGCATTACTGTGGGAGAAATAACATGAAATGATCACAGATGAGTTCATCTTGTAAGCTCATCTTGATCTTGATATGTGGTGTCTTATAAACCATTTGGTAAAACTGCTTAAGAGTCTGGTTTTAATCCGTTCTGAAACAAAGAGAGTTTTCAATCAGGATTGTCTGGAAGCAGAGTTGCTGGACAGTGAGGTCAGTGGCTCTGACAGCATGTCAGGAGGATTTAGGATCTGAATATCCCTGAATCTCTCTCTGCACACTGTAGATACAGTGACTTAAATATTCATTCTCCATTCTTCAATTCCTTCCTCTTGTACATAACTTTAAATTTGACAGAAATGTATTTCCCCTCAAGAAAACGGTAGAATATGGATGATTACCTTTCCCTTCTTCCTTCTCTCCTTCCTTTGTTATTCATTATTAACTATGTATTGCTTTTTTCTATGTGGGATTTTCAGTGCAAGGAAATTATAATGTGTGACATGATGAAGTGACAGTAGCCAGCTCTCACTTCCCATTCTGTGTGGGTGCAGCAGCGTAGCCATAGTAGCAATAAAATGTTAATACCGTATAGCTCCTGGGTTACTCTTCGGATTCTCCTCACTATGTGTGGACACCATTAATGTTTTAACAGTTCTGCTGTGATATATATAAAGCCAAGCTCACGGGTCGTCCATAGTCTTGGATGAGGGCCAATGTGGGTCAAGCGAGGCTCATCGGGGCTCTTTAATGCAACTTTGGCCAAAACTAATCTAGCACAAAGCCCAATGTTAAGTATCTTAGTGAAAGATGTAGAGAAGTTTCTACATCCTGGGCTTTTCAGATTACATCTGTTGGCGGTGGCGTCCCTGAGGTAGGGGTCCCGTGTGCCCCAATGAAAGTAGAGGAGAATTAGGTGACTGAGCCTTTAATACAGTGCCCCTTTGTAATCATATCATGAGGAGATGAGGTTCTAGGGTGAGGAGAATTAGGGGGAATCCTTGGTGTGACCTCTTTTTTTTTTGTGCATGTTTATTGTTCCACTGGCACTGTACGTAAAGCCAATACCAGGGTGAAAGGGGCAAAAGGGCAAAGAGAGTAAAAGAGGAAATGTTCATGAAAAAAACAGACAGTGCAAAGTATATTCTCCCCTTTTTAATGCCACTGTTCTTGCATCAATACCAGGGTGAAAGGGGCAAAAGGGTAAAGAGAGTAAAAGAGGAAATGTGCAAAGACAGTGCAAAGTATATTCTCCCCCTTTTAATGCCACTGTTCTTGCACCAGACTCCGTCTCTCTGTCAGACACCAAGTCAAGTTCAAGTTCATGGGTGCAGCCTCTGTGTCTGCGGCCGGTTAAGGAATTAAAAGTGTCTGTGGCCTCCCTGGAGTACAAGAGGAGGTGGTGGTGGTGGGTAGATGGGGGGTACCTAGCCTTTGACCTCTGTTAGGGTTGCTATGGGAAAGAGGCTGTCTGCCTCAGCAATGTACAAGTGAAAAGGCCGAACTGTCAGAGCTGTCCAGAAGACGTCAAACTCCCTCCACACACACACACACACACACACACACATACTCACAGATGGCATGGGCCAGCTTGGGAATGTTTAACTGTGAGAGAACACTCTGTGTTCATCAGTCTCCGTTATAATTCATCCAACCTTTAGAGTCACACAGTCTGAACCTCTTCCTCACAGCATCTTGTTGAACCATTTTTTTCATTCTCATCCTACACATCTGGATGCCCACTGTCAGTGTGTGTGTGTGTGTGTGTGTGTGTGTGTGTGTGTGTGTGTGTGTGTTGTGGCGTTATGGACACTAAATATAGCATTACTCAAGTGAAACAAGACTTGTAAGAAAACAGCACAACTTATGTTGCAAACAAAGAGCTTCGTCCAAATAAAACACACCTCAAATCTTTTCAACCAGAAGCAGCAGAGGGGAAACACATTTTGCTGTAAAGTATAGTCATTAAAACATCATATAGTGAGCAGTAAAACATAAATTGTACTTTGTCTCCTGTCTGAGTAAAATTAGATAACAGACAAAGTCTTTCCTCTTCAGACCAAATAAATGTGCAGAATATTTGAGGTATCTGTGCATGTTAATATCTCTGCTTACATTTATGAAGCTTCACAAAAGCTTCTACACTATACCGTTTATCTTTTTTTTTTATCAAGCAGTTTGAATGAACCAAATGTATAGACATGAAATAGTCTGTGACATCAGTTAACCATATATTTCTACATCTGCTCATGTTAAAATAGTCAGTGTTTCGTGTTAGAGCAGCATGCAAATCCACTCCCCCTTAACTGTGTGCAAGTGTGGCCTCATTTAAGGCTGCATTTATTCAGGGGAGGGGTTCCACAAATAAAAGAGTGTGTATTTGCATACGCTGCATGGTGTCTGCAGAGAGGGAGCAGTCAAAAAAAAAAAAAGATATCAGAAGTGGACAAAGAGAACGAGGACAAATCCTTCATTGTGGGGTTGGTGGGAGAAAGAGCTTGTCTGAATTGGGGAGTGGGTGAAAATTGACAGAGAAAGAGTTTGGGCTGGTTCCCTGTCGGGATAAAAGCCTTAAGATCTCTCCATGTATACAGCCTGAAAATGGGAGAGAAGAACAACATGCAGAGCACAGGGGCCTATTTTTACAGCGGGTGAAAAGCAAGTTTGTTTTTCTGTAACAGTGCCTACAATTTCTGATGTGAAAAACTAAGAATCACACACAACACTAAAGTCAGTATTGTCCAAACATACTCATCAACATTTTGAAAAACCTTCGGTTTGTAAAAAATATTATTGTGCTTTATAACCTTGTTCTTAAAAAGTATCTCCACAGTCCTGCCTTTATATGACATTACTTTTAGGGGAGTTCATTCCCTAGACATTTTATGTGTTGGTTTACCCTGTGGCCTTTTGGTTTTTGTTTTAATCTCTTTTTATGGTAACCGTTTGGTGTTTTTATTGACTGCTCAGCACTTTGCAACCTTTATTAATAGAGCTTTTAATTATTATTATGATAAAACTAATGTACTTTTATGTTACACTGTCAGTATTGTCTAATCTTAGAGAACATACATAGAGTGAAAATGTTGTCTTTCTGTATTCCTTTCTTTGTGCCTAAAAATGTGAAACATTACTTTCAGAGTAGAGGAGTTTATGGAGCCAAGTGTGATGTGTGATTGTCATGCTAATGATTCCCTCCATCATGTTTCCTCAGGATGGGACAGGATCTGCAAGAGTCTCTGCACCCGGCAGGAACCTCGCCAGAATATGAAGAGACTATCAGTAAACTAAGCAGTGCAAGAAATGTAAAAAAAAAAAAAAAAAAAACAAAAAAAACAAAAGTTGGA